AAGAATTTCTTTCTTGCTGTAGCACTTTTCTTGGACGAAAAGCAGAACAATGTAGCAATCTTTCTAGTGTCTTGCATCTTATTCAAAATGAGTGTTCACTGACTAATATTGCACCTCTTTGTAGTGTAGTGGAGGAAATGGAGATCACTGAGGCAGAGGAACACATTGAGAAATATAGAACTGAGTTAAAGGAATTCTGCAAGTCACTCTCCATTAGTCTTTGTTTGGAGGAAAGGTTTTCTTCAATTCCTCATCTTCAATGTCAGACAGTTACTCTTTTATTTGATTGGGAGCCTGAGGAACATTTACTCAAAGATATCATGGAGCTCCTTGCAAAAGTATCCGGTAAACTACTGAGGATTGAGTATACAAAACGAACCAAATCAATATGTGTCACTTGCTCCTTTCCTTTCTCTGATGTTGGGTTTACTGTATTGAGGATGATAGAGAATATTCATATACTAATGGGACAAGGATTAAAGAAACTGACTATTGGTAACTTAACATTATGGAGGAGACAAGATGTCAGACAAAAGGTGCATAATATGAATAATTGAATATTATTTTATGAATATTGTATTGTATAGGAACTAAAAGAAAAGGATCAAGACTTACTACAACACACAGAGGTATAGTTTTGAGTTTTAAATGTACATGTAATGTATTGCTAAAAAGAATCAACATTACGTTATTACAAGATGATGTAATGTTGTTTTTACAGGTTATTTCTTATATTATACTTGAAGAAGCTGAATATAAACTAAGAGATGCTACCAGTAGCAAAGAGAAGGTATGTCATTATAAGGCTGAGCAATGATGCTTTGTTGTGTACTTATAATAGGAAGCGATTGAATTGAAACAAGAACTATCAAAGATGAAAGTATTGACAGAACTTGAGGTTAGCTTATATTATGTATAGTGGGAAAAATTTGTGGAGAGTTCAAGTTTTGCGAATTTTCATTTGGACATTAAATTTTATGGTTTTGATAGTTATTATATTGAATCTTTTTATACAAAACGATCGGTTTAAATATTATTATTAGGCAGAATCATTGTTCATTCAAAGTGATACTGAATCAGTTAAAGAAGTTGAGGTATACATGTACAGTATCTCACTAGTTTGTATTAATTATAATAATTATTAATAGGAAGAACCACTTTATGAAGAGTTGACTGCATTGAGGTCTAAGTTTAATGAGATAAAAGATTTGCCAAACAATTTATCAAAAATGAAGATTGAGTATTTGAGATCACTTTCTAGTAATACTGATTCAGGTTAGAGTAGTTTTATTATTTATAATAATTATTATATTAATTAATTATAAAGCTGCTAGCAGAGTGAGAAGAGGAATGTCTTTTGAAATTGATGACTGCCAATTTCATCTTAAAGCAATGACAAGTCCAGACTATCAGCCATTAGTAGATAATAAAAGAATAATAGAGAAATTACAAGAAAGAATAACATTAATGACTGAAGAACTAATTACTGAAAGAGAACACAATGAGAAGATTATAAAAGATATTAAAGGTTTTATTGATGATGTGTGTCATCATTTGATTGTTGATATTTGAATAGATCATTTGGAAGAGATTGAGGAGAAGAGACAGAGAGAAATGAAACGAGTAAGAGTGAGATATGCTATCTATACATGTGTACCATACTTACTTTTGTTTCTAGTACAAATTATATTGTAATCATCCTGTTACTGGTAAATTAATAGAGTCAACACTTGAAGTACATAAAGATGAATTACTACCCAGTGTACTGGATAAAGCTTATGAGGTTTGTTGTTATTATAGTTGGTTATTTCAGTTTAATCTTTCATTTTGTTTTTTATCTCTTTATCAGTTAATGAAATTAGCTCCTCATATTCCTATTGAGAGATGTCGTTTAGTTGAATATGATGATTATAATCATGCCATGAATCGGTCCTTTGATCTTGATGAAGTAATTAAGTGGTATCTATCCCACTTGCTTTGATTAGAAATTTAGTTTCAGCATCAAACTATTGGACAGCTAATGGATGTGACTGGATATTATTATGATTTATTTTTGGAAACTCGTAAAGAAAATGAAACCTTTAAGAAATACAATCATGGAGGTGGATATAGTTTTTTGTTATGACATGCAGTATGTCTATTGTACATGTACTGTAGGTGTTAATCTAGAGATATCAGTGGTTGATCTGGCAGCTGGTAAAGTACATGTAGGACCAGCTATACCAATGAGAGGAGAAAGCGGTTGGACTGTTGGAGTATTAAAACAACATATAGGAGAAGTAATTAAGAGGAAAGATATGTGTATACTGTCATTTATATTGTTCTCCTTCCCTTCTTTATAGGTATTTAATATCAGCCCGTCATGCATGAGGGTAGCATGGAATGAGAACTGGAATGGTTTTTGTGAACTTAAGGATGAAGAAAGTTTGTTACTCTATAAATCTCGAGAAAGTAAAGTTAGTACAACTGAACAACTCAGACTAATGTATACATGTACTTAGCAGTTTGCATATTAGACTTTATATTGACAAAGTGCAACTACCGTATATCGGGTATATTTCAATGCATGAAAAGTGGTGTAAATATAAAGCTCAATGATGGAAAAATTCGGAAGCCCTTATATTCCGAAAATATTTTATTTGCTATTATTTCCATCAACCACCTGGCCTGGTAAGTCAATCGAAGCATTTGCTGACTTCTCCACTTCTGAATCAACCTTAGCAACACTTCTAACTGGCAAAGAAGGCTCTTTATGGCCTTCGAGTTAGACTAGAATGTAGCCATGGATAGTTATGAAGCCACGTGTTCATATTAATTGCACAATACCACATATCTTCTATTCTTTTTTTATCCGCATATTTTAAAATTTCATAATATTTATTTTCGCAATGGATTCCTTTTTCCAAATTTATTAATGCATTGAAATATACCCGATATACGGTATATGTTTATGTCATTGAGCATAGGTGCATGCTACTAACAGATTTTAAACCTGCCAATATTCCTTGTGGTAGCTATAATCAAAAGTCTTTACATTTGTAATTGTTGTTTCACTTTCATTTATTTGTATTTATCTTTTTTATTTTATACGTAATTTCTCTCAGTCTCAGCTGCTATATGTTTCATCAGATCCTAAAGATTATAAAAAAGAATTCAAAGATAGTTTGATGTACAGATATGTTGAGTTTCATGTCAACTCAATGCTACTACTGAACATTACAATACCTCCTGGACCCGAAGCCACACCCACAATAACTGAAAGAAGAATGATGAAAATTATATCAATAATTGAAGAAAATAAAGGAAAAGAAAGAAGTAATGATAACTTGTATTATTAATTAAACATTATTATTATTCAATACAGAGATACAGGTACGAGTTAGTAAGAGTATAACATTAATTCAATTGAAGGAGGAGCTAGTTCCACTGATTGGTGTACGACCTACTGGTTTTAGAGTGTATGAAATAATTGGTAATAGAGAATATGAACTGGAGGCACTGAATCAGACATTAAAAGATATTGGATCTGGATCAAAGGTAATTTGTGTGTTATTTGATGGTATTTCTTTTTTTCATTATATCTACATGTAATAACATACTCATCTCTTTATTACTTTGTGTATCTACTAGTTGATAGTAAGACTGGGTAGAGCATTAGGAAGAGGAGAGAAAAGAATTAAATTATATTTATTACAAGTTAACAATACAGAGGTAAGAATTATTACATATATAGTATTTATATACTCACATTACATGTACATTATTCTTTGATTTTAATTTTTAGTTTTGTAAGTTTATGATGGATACTGGTTATGCTATGGGTACACCAGTGGGAGAATTTAAGAAACAAATTATTGAAGAAGCAAAAGTACAAGGAATTGACTGTGTCCTTGAATTAGACAAGTAAATACATCATGTGACTATCATGTGACTATCATGTGACTTATTGTGTAGAATGAGATTACATAACAAGAATGGAGTGTCCCCTGGCACAGTATACCTTGATCATGAGTTTATTGATACTAGCAGTAAGGAAATGTATGTGGATCCATTGAAAGGTCAGTATATCTCGGTATATTTTTCATGTACATGTATGTGTTTCATTAGGACCAGGGAAGAAGAAGCATGATGAACAGAGACAGGTGTATGTTATAAGATGGCGTCCATCACAATGTTCAGTTGATCCAATAGAAGAAATTATACTGGATGATTATGGTCCTGAGCATGTTATTGGAAAGGTACTTTGTTTGTACAATACATGTAGAAATAAAATAGAGTATGATATACAGAATTTTTGTAATAAAATTTTAATATTATTTTTACATTTGAAATTATAATTTTAACTGAAAATGAAACTCAATGACATTGAGTGGGTGTGTATGTATTATCATTATCATTATTATTATTATTATTATTATTATTGTTATTATTATTATTATTATTATTATTATTATTATTCCTTTGCAGCTGTCAGAATTAAGTGGAGTTCCTGCTGAGTATATCTATTATACAGAGGTTAATCATTAAAACATACATGTATTAATACTCTCTCTGATTCTGTTAGGGAAAATCATTTCCAGTTAAGATATCATGTCTTGATATTGAGAATAAGTTGAGATGGTATTCCATCACTTCAGACAGATACTCATTAAGACTATATGATGATGGAGGTGTCATATATTACAAGTACTACTGAACACACACACACATTATGTATACACACACACTTACATACACCTCTTACTGTTTATAATTATTTAGAGACAAAAGAGAGACAATGAAAGAGTTAACATATGAAGAGAGATCAGCAATACAAGAGGCAGAGGAAGCAAGGTCAGTAAACCTCATGTGTCATCATGTACATGTACTATTAGTGAATTTTTTAATAATATTTTCATTAATTGTACATATAGTATTTTGTATTGTGTAATTACTCATTTATTGTATTGTGTAGGTTGGAGAAGATTAGGGAATGCGAATTACAGCATTGAAGTAGATATTAGTTTTGATATAAAAATGAAAAAAATGAATTGGTTTAATATTTAGATGCATGAGTCATATTATTTTTTATTTGCTGCTTATGTGATGATTATTTTCTAAATACATATATGTATCGGTATGCATTCTACAATGGCTACAAAATGACAGCATACACATACAGTGCTTCAGTGCCCACTGCCCAGTCAGCAGTCTATACTGTCAGCATATGATTCAGAGGATCAAGATGATGATTTATATTTAGCTATATGTATATGTAAGATCTACAGTGTGCAAGTCTATAGGTGCAAGTAGAAATGCATTCAAAGTGTTCTTAGGCAGTTTGGATGACAGTGCACAGTGTTATAAATCTAATTATATTTTGTACATTATTCATGATGCTGAGTCATGGTGTTAATGTGTGTGCTGATGCTATCAAATTGTTACTGAATTGTGCATAAAGAAAGCTCAGTTTAAGTAAAATGGCTGATCATTTCAAAATTCCAGCTGTCATTAGAAGATTAAAGAAGGTATAAAAATGTGTGACTAGTTTTAGAAAGTCGATTGTTCCCTCTTTATCCCATGCAGGAGGAAGATCAAATAAAGAATGAGCCACCTATTGGCTGTCATGCTGAATCAGTCTCAGAAAATTGTAAGCCATGAAGGATATGTCTATATACTTATTGATGTATTGCTCTTAGATAGAACCTGGAAAGCAACAATACTAGGACCTGAAGGTACAATATATGAGATGAAAGTTATGAAATATATCTTTTTCTGTAAACAGGGACACCTTATGAGAATGGCCTCTTCTATTTAAAAATGGAAATTCATGAAGAATACCCATTTAAACCACCAAAAGTATGTGTATGAATTCTGTATGTACACCCATCCCCTCCCTCCCTCTCTCAAAGGTGTGGTTCACTACTAAGATATATCATGTGAATGTTGATTCTGATGGTTGGATTAGTTTAGATATACTCAATGATGGGTGGAGTCCAGCAATAACAATATCAAAAAGTACAACAATCATTATCCAATGATACCAGCCTCCATTACTTACTGTATACTCATACATTGTAGTTCTAAGTACAGTGAGATCATTACTGGTTGACCCTGATCCAGACTGGGCTGTTGGTGGTGAAGTGTATGCAGCATTCACTAAGAATCGTTCACAGTATGATGAAACTGCTAAAGAATGGACACAGAAACATGCAATGGACTAATTCAATGGATTATTGACAAAATAAAATATGTAGATAATTATGATTCTGTTTATTTTTTAACTTATTTAATATGCAACAGAGCCAGTTTCTTTTTTAGCATATTGAATGATTCATGAGGTTTTTCAGGATGTACTCAGGATTTTGGAAACTTAAAAAATTTGTAAAAAATTCAATTTTGATTGGAATGAGCTCAAACTTTCTACGCAGCATAAGTGCATGTATATGTATCAGAAAATGTAATAAATATGCAGAATTCTTTCCTCTTTATTTTTGGCAAAATTTGGTCTGTGACCCTGTACTATAGTACAGGGACTTTGGCCCAATTTTAGAGCAACTTAAAAAATTTGTAAAAAATTCAATTTTAATCAGAATGAGCTCAAACTTTCTACACAACATAAGTACATGTATATACATCAGGAGATGTAATAAAAATGGAGAATTCTCTCCTTTTAATTTTTGACAAAATTTAGTTTGTGATCTTGGCCTGATTTTAGAGCAACTTAAAAGGTTGTAAAAATCCAATTTTGATCGGAATGAGCTCAAACTTTCTACACGTACAACATAAGTGTACATGTATATGCATCTGAAAATGTAATAAAGCACTATGCCAAAATCCTGCAGGAAAATTTTATAACATACTTGCATTGTTGATTGTAGTGCTGAACCAGCTTCTGATCTGATTTCAATGATTTGAGATCAATTGAACTCAGGCCTCTAAAAGGAGAGAGAGATTCACTGTGCATTAAATAAGTAAATAATTCAATAGTATAATTATAATAATCATTATAAGTATTGTACTACTTAGTCTTTGATTTATCTCTCGGTTCTGCTCCTATTAGCATTCATAATCTTCTCTAGCTATCCATAGGTGTGATTTATTGATTAGTTTAGGGCGTGGCAGATCTCTTTGCTGCAACATCTACAGTTGACGCCCTGTTTGGTTTGTTATGTATTCTCTTCTGACAGTATCTTGATGTCATCTCCATCTCTCACAGCTTTAAATATACCCACTACTCCTCTAGCTATTAACAGTTTCTCTTTAATGATACAATTCAATAAAACCTGAGCATCATCAAATGTATATACGCTTAGCTTCAGCACCTTAACAATAAAAAACATATAGTAAAACATACAGTAAAACATATAGTAAAACATACAGTAAAACATACAGTAAAACATATAGTAAAGTGCTCAATCTAATTTGTTCTAATTAAAGTGCATGTTATTCTAATTAAAGAACTAACCCACGTCCTTGTCATTGAATATTTTAGGGTACCCTCTGTTTGGGTACTTCCCCTTCAGCTGCCAGACGTCAAAGAAAGGTTTCCAGTCAATGTAAGATACCAAACGGTTCAAGTCGTAATCCTGGAACACTGTAATACCCAACTGCCTGGGTTTTACTGAAAAGGAGAGACAAGAGAACAATATAGTATTAAAATTATTAAAGTCCCCATTAATATCCTTACCAGGTTTATAGCAGTTCACATTCAGAGCAACAACATGTATAGTGGGCTGACTGTAGCATGGCGCAATCTTGACAGCTGTATGAGTCCTGAAAATGAATTTTTAAAGTAGATCATAAATTTAATAAAATAACCCTGTACTATAATATTAATTAATTAATGAAGTGGGTGTGGTCATTGATTACTTTGTGGTAGTAGCTCCTCCTATCAGTAGCGGTATCTTTAGGCCCTCCCTCTCCATCTCCTTGGCAACGTAAATCATCTCATCCAACGACGGAGTAATTAAACCAGAGAGACCAATAATATCTTATAATAACAAATAAATAAATAAATAAATAAATAAATAATACTATTAATTGATTATAATATAAAAGCACCTGCTTTATTTTTTCTTGCTGTCTCTATTATCTTCTCACAAGGTGTCATTACTCCCAAATCAATAACTCTACATAACCAGTGGATATACATCATGTACACATGTTACCAGTGAAATACGTGTTACATGTACATGTACATACGTTATACCTGAAGTTATTGCAGCCGAGGACCACACCTACAATATTCTTCCCTATATCATGTACATCACCTTTGACAGTCGCTATAACAACAGTACCCGAGAATCTATCCTATAAATTAAATAATTATAATAATTAATTTAAATGTAATTAATTTACGTTTTCATCTTCAGAGATGACAGTTCCTTCTTCCTTTGCTGCTTTCTCCTTCTCCTCTTCCATAAAAGGAATCAGGTACCCGACGGCTTTCTTCATGACACGAGCAGATTTGATCACCTGACAATCACATGACATCAATAAATAATAATAATAATAATAATAATAATAGCTTAATTACTTGTGGAAGAAACATTTTTCCTGATCCAAAGAGATCGCCAACAATACTCATACCCTAAAAATATTGATAATATAAAAACTAAAAATTACCATAACTTGAAAAGTTTTAATTAGAATCGGCTCAAACTTGCTACACAGCATAAGGACATCAATATGTATCAGAAAATGTAATAAAAATTTGGGGTAATTTCGGAGCCATTTTTTGGAAAAAACCATGGGCTATAGCCTTGGGTATTTTTCAGAATTTTGATGTTTTCTTAAAATGGCCGTAACTCAAAAATTTTTTATCGGAATCGACTCAAACTTGCTACACAGCATAAGGACATCAATATGTATCAGAAAATGTAATAAAAATTTGGGGTAATTTCGGAGCCATTTTTTGGAAAAAACCATGGGCTATAGCCTTGGGTATTTTTCAAAAATTGGCCCGTTTTCTTAAAATGGCCGTAACTTGAAAATTTTTTATCGGAATCGACTCAAACTTGCTACACAGCATAAGGACATCAATATGTATCAGAAAATGTAATAAAAATTTGGGGTAATTTCGGAGCCATTTTTTGGAAAAAACTATGGGCTATAGCCTTGGGTATTTTTCAGAATTTTGATGTTTTCTTAAAATGGCCGTAACTTGAAAAATTTTAGTTGGAATCGACTCAAACTTGCTACACAGCATAAGTACATCAATATGTATCAGAAAATGTAATAAAAATTTGGAGTGATTTCGGAGCCATTTTTTAGAAAAAACCATGGGCTATAGCCTTGGGTATTTTTTTAAAATTGGTCTGTTTTTAAAATGGCTATAATTCAAGAACTGTCATTTGGAATTAGCTCAAACCTTCTACAATGTATACAATGTATGTGTAGTTTAATGTATTAATGTGTACAGGTACAGGTACTTACAGACATCAGTGGCCCTTCAATTATATGAAGTGGGCGTGGATACTTATCGAAATTAGAACGAGCCTCTTCAGTATCTGATACCACAAACTTATCAATACCCTTAGAGGAGAGAGGGAGGAGAGAGAGAGAAGTTTATAAAGTATTAATAAATTATTAAAGTATTACTTTAACTAGTGAATATTCCAGTCTTTCTTCAACAGTGGCATTCCTCCATTCATCAGTTGCCACCTGCTTCTTAGCACCTTCACCCAGCGACTAAAAATAGACACAGACCATTACATAATAATGACCTCATCACTTGCTATAAATACCTGAGCATATTCGAGGAGTTTCTCAGTCGTATTTGGGTCTCTATTCCAGAGCAGGTCTTCACATAAATTCAATAAATCTTTTTTAATGTCATCATAAAGTGGGAGGTTACCGGCATTAACAATACCCATGTCCATACCAGCCTAGGGACAAGAAATTATAATCAATTATAATTAATTAATTAAAATTACTATTCATTCTTATTACACTTATAAATAAGATGGACCTACACTGTACATGTACATTGTAGCTAGGAAAACTTATCAGAAAAACATGTAACATAAAAAATACCACCAACTGGATACACATAGTAGCAGTTTGATAATGGAATAAAATGTACATCATTATAAGATAATAACACAATCCCCTCATTCCTTCATTCCTCCATTAGTTACTTGTATTGCATGGTAGAGAAAGACACTGTGCATTGCCTCCCTAATGACCTCCTTCCCACGAAATGAAAACGATAAATTAGACAAGCCACCACTGATCCTAGCACCAGGTAATGTTTGCTGAATAACAAAGAAATGAATAAATAGAATTATCATTATAAACTGAAGAGTTAGATCCATACATAATGATATTCATTAATCTCCTGGCCCCTCCCCTTACTTTAATTAATCTCGTTGCCTCAATAAACGATATCCCATAGTTGTTATGCTCCTCCATTCCCGTTGCTATGGTGAGGATGTTTGGATCAAAGATGATGTCATTTGGATTGAACCCAACAACATCAACCAGAATATTGTAAGACCTTGTACAGATGGAGACTTTGTTCTCTGTTGTAGTAGCCTAAGGGAGAAGCCATTACGTTATACATTTATTTAGCGGATAATTAAAATTTTTCATAAATCAGATAAAATAAGGTACGAACTATTATATTTTAATCACATACATGTACATGTACATATAATTTTTTCTAAAACATAAAACTTGGAAGTTAGTACTTACTTGTCCGACTTCATCAAAGGCCATCACGACAGCTGCTCCTCCAAACTTCTTGATAATCTTTGCCTTCTCAATGAAGTCCTCCTCCCCTTCTTTGAGACTAATGGAGTTCACGATACACTTACCCTGGGAACACTTTAGGCCAGCAAGAACCACCGAGAAATTACTGGAGTCAATGCAGAGGGGGAGCTTGAGGTATAGAGACAAAGAAATATAAATAATATGCGGAGTGACCAGTGTGTGTGTGTGTCTGGAGGTGAGTATCAGTAATGTAATACCTGAATCCCTTGATATCTGCCCTCAGCTTCACCTCAAGCAGATATCTCAGTCCTCAGGTATTACATTACTAATACACACACACACACCTCCAGAGGGGCTGCAGGTCATGTACATGTACTCACTTTAGCAATGTCAGGTTCAGTTGATATGTAGTTACAGAATCTTGCCATGGCCTTCACTCCGTCCAGCATACCCTCGTCCATATTCAAGTCAAGGACCTGGGCACCCATCTCAACCTGTTGCTTAGCAACGGCGAGTGCCTCCTATACATGTACATGTACATCATGTGACTATCATGTGACTGGGAGGTTGGGGGTACCTCAAATTTTCCGGCAATTATCAAACGAGCGAAACGTCTTGACCCAGCAACATTGCACCTTTCACCAATGTTAACGAAGTTAGTAGTGGAATTGATTTTAACCCCTTCCAACCCTAGAAACAAATGGAAAATATATGACAGCTACACAAAATCTCTTTTCAAGCTTTCATAATCTGGTACCAGTCTCAGTCTCACCTGACAGTATGAGTGCGTCATGATAAAGATTAGTGGGCGGTTCCCTTGGTTTTAACCCTTTCACTGCTTCGGCAATAGCTCTAGAGAAAGAGAACGAAATTATTAATTTTTTATATTAATTAATTGGTTACTTAATAAAAAGAGGTGTGGTCCCACAGCAACCACCGACAATGTTGACAAGACCATCAACTGCAAAAGACTACATCAAATAAATAAATAAATAAATAAATAAAATAAAATAAAATAATACTTTCAAATGACTGGCCATAACTTCAGGAGTTTCATCATATCCACCCAAAGCATTGGGCAAACCTGCAGAGGAGAACATGTACAGTATACACACTTACACACTTACACAGTAATTAATGAGATAATTAATTAAGTAATTAATGAAGAATATCTCAATTACCCTGTACTACAGTACAGGGACAGTTAGTACATGTACATGTACATCCTTCATTACCAGCATTAGGGTAACATACCAGCATTAGGGTAACATACCAGCATTAGGGTAACATACCAGCATTAGGGTAACATACCAGCATTAGGGTAACATATCAGCATTAGGGTAACATATCAGCATTAGGGTAACATACCAGCATTAGGGTAACATACCAGCATTAGGATAACATACCAGCGTTAGGGTAACATACCAGCATTAGGGTAACATACCAGCATTAGGGTAACATACCAGCGTTAGGATAACATACCAGCATTAGGGTAACATACCAGCATTAGGGTAACATACCAGCATTAGGGTAACATACCAGCATTAGGGTAACATACCAGCATTAGGGTAACATACCAGCATTAGGATAACATACCAGCATTAGGATAACATACCAGCGTTAGGATAACATACCAGCATTGGGGTAACATACCAGCATTAGGATAACATACCAGCATTAGGATAACATACCAGCATTAGGGTAACAGAGTACAAAAGCTTCAGTTGATCTACTGACAGTTTGAATGAACGGACGCATCTCAGTAGCACCTAAAGCACAGTTAAGACCAATACTGGGGGAGAGAAAGAAAGATTTATGTGAAATTAAAATAATAAACTCAGTTTCTCTACCAAAGTGGTTTGGAGTGTGTCACACTGAACAGAAAGGCCTCAGACGTCTGACCAGACAGTGTTCTTCCACTTTTATCAACTATAGTACCTGACACCTATAGGTAACCATGACAACAGGTAACCACGGCAACAGAGGAACTCACAAAGACTGGTATTGGTTTGTACTTTGATTCAAAGAGAGTCTCAACGGCATAAAGGGCTGCCTTAGAGTTTGCTGTATCAAATATGGTCTCCACCATAAGGACATCAACCCCACCATCAAGGAGACCCTGGGCCTGCTCTGAATATGAATCAACCAGTTCATCAAAAGCTGTTAGGAGAGGAAGAGAAGAGAATCATAATAGTAACTATGATTAATATAATCATGTACATGTACATCAACATTATTAAAATTAATAATGATTTTTGCAATCAGTCATTTATAATGTATAAGGTCTACATGTATTTATAATTAATCCTTCTTCCAAATCTTCTTTGAAGTCTTAAAACTTTATAGCCAATAAGAATAAACCATGCACATGTACAATACAATATAGTATACTGATACAGTATCCATTCATCCATTCACTTACTAATATTCCTAAAATCAGGTCTCTCCACTGAGGGTGATACTGATAATGTTCTGTTGGTTGGACCCAGTGCTCCAACAACATACTTGGGTAGACCTAAAGTGGGTGTGGTCACAGTAACCATGATAACCAATACAAACCTGTTGCTTTACTGACGTCAGCAGCTGCTTGCCTGGCAATTTCAGCAGCTGATTTATTAATACAATAAACCTAAACAATAAAAAATGATGCAAAAATTAAAGACATAATAATAATTTTACTTACCAAATGCTCCAGTCCATAATCTGATTGTGAAATTGATGTTCCATTGAATGTGTTTGTCTCAGAAAAATCAGCACCTGCTTCAAAATATTGCTGAAGAGAGAAAGAAGGTTAAAGGCCAAGTTACATGTACACATGAATATACTTCCTTCTCCCTCTCTCTCTCCTTGTCCTTTGCCTCAATTACTCCCTCCCCCTCTCTCCCTCACTTTATGTATATTATAAATGATGTCAGGTTGTGTTAGGCAGAGGAGGTCATTGTCTCCTCTTAACGGCTTGGGATGATCCTTAAACTCTTCACCTAAAATAAACCAAAGAAACATACAATAATATCATCAAGAGTCTACAATTGTTATTAATAATAATAAATCATAGACACAGCTCAGTTCTTATCCTTCCCCTCACCTCTGAACTGTTCTTCAGTGAGGTTGTGTCCTTGTATCATGGTACCCATTGCTCCATCTAGTACCATTATCCTCTTACACATCTCATTAGCTAGTGTCTCACCCAAACCTACCAACAGAAACAAGAACAATAATTAGTCCACTCCCATTTTTTCATTCCTCGCCCACATACTTTACATCTTATTAAGTATTTACTCATTAAATATCTAATAAGTAATTTTGTGATAATTAATAATATCATCTTCACCCTCCACCCACACAATTGAAGGGAAAACACTGATAATACCCCAGTCCAATGGGTGTGGCAGTACTAATAAACTCAGCTGCATCATTTGAAATGCTCCCAGTCCTCCTTACCAGGTGTTATCTTGGGGTATGTTGGTCTAAAGTGAAGAGGAACTTCAGTAGGCATCTTGACAAATCACAACAACAGTTTGGCACGAAGACAGCACGTGTCTGGTATGTCACGTTACCCTAACAGGTTAGACCAGTTTTGCCCTCTCTAAGCCACGCCTACACTACCACGCCTATAAACAATGGTGACTAACAAGGTGAATTGAAGATTCAGACAAGGCTAACTTTAAAGGTAAATGAAAGTTTTCGTGTCTTTTTCACTAGCTTATGGAATATCTTCTTAAAGTTAAATTCAAATAACAAAACATCCTGTCATCTTCCAAGGGTATCACGTGAGCTATTGCATTCCAGGCTTCCAGCCCCACCCACCACAGTCTGTGCTGCACTGAGTCTATGAAAGGTTTTCTGCTGGGATTTCTGGCCTCAAGAGGAAGCTAGTGTCCATTTTGTTTTAACTATGGCCACTAGTCAAACTTGTTCAAGCTTAGGTATGTACGTTTGATAAATGTGAAATCAGCTATACTTTTCGTAGATATTAGTGAATTGGGTTTTGTTCTTGAGTTATTGGAGAAATGTTGCTTCTCAGAAACTAAATGGTATAAGCTGGGGCTAAGACTAGGACTAAGGAAGAATACACTGGACCTTATTGAAAAGAATCATCCTCATGATGTATCTCGTTGTATGACAGAGTGCCTCTCCCAATGGTTAGGTAGAGCTGATAATGTTGACAGTAGAGGAGGAGCCAACTTGGACTCACTGTCAGATGCTCTAGGATCTATGAATGAAACTGCTGTAGCTGAGAAATTAAGTGAGTCAACCATAACTGTATGTAACTATAATCATTGTATTTTCTATCATAGAACATCAGGTTCTTATTGATATTTTTAATAATTGCCAAAATGTCCTGTCTCAGTCTCTTTGTGATCCTTTTGCTACATCTCAGTTACTTTATGGTGAACGTATGTTAAGACAAGAAGCAGTTAGTAGAGTGGTGTCAGCTAGTCCCTCTATTCCTAATCAACGTGAGGCTCTATTAACTGCTGTCAAAGAAGCTGTTCAAACTGATCCCAACAGTTTACATACATTTGCTAATGTATTGTGTACAATCAGTACTAATGTATCACTGGGACAAACTATACTGGATGATATTAGTGAGTTTAATAATAATAATAATAATGGTGTCGTTACATTGTTAATTAAAACTATACTGGTTTTTATGTGTTTAGGTAAGTATTTCCCTACTCCTAAAGTGGGTATGGTTCGTAAAGGCCCATCTGTTATAGTTTCACAAGGTTAGGCACAATAATTAATGGTTTATTAATTTTATTAATTACTCAAACACTATGGTTGTAGTTGGAGTGCCTGTTCCCAAAAATTTGCTGGAGGATTTTAGTTCCATAAGAGTGTCCTACGCAAGGATGTTTTTTAATGTTTGCAACATTTTGGAAAATAAATTAAAAGTTGCTGGCATAAAGAAGTACCTTTCTTACTATACATGTAGTGCATCTCTCCGAAAGAAACTAGATCAATGTTCTGATATTTCTGGCATCCTGTATCTTGTTAAAGATGAGTGTTCACTGACTAATATTGTACTTCTCTGTAGTATAGTGGAGGAAATGGAGATCACTGAGGCTGAGGAACACATTGAGAAATATAAAACTCAATTGAAGGAATTCTGCAAGTCACTCTCCATTAGTCTTTGTTTGGAGGAAAGGTTTTCTTCAATTCCTCATCTTCAATGTCAGACACTTACTCTTTTATTTGATTGGGAGCCTGAGGAACATTTACTCAAAGATATCTTAGAGCTTCTTGCAAAAGTATCCGGTAAACTACTGAGGATTGAGTATATAGAACGATCTCATTCAATATGTGTCACTTGCTCCTTTCCTTTCTCTGATGTTGGGTTTACTGTATTGAGGATGATAGAGAATATTCATATACTAATGGGACAAGGATTAAAGAAACTGACTATTGGTAACTTAACATTATGGAGGAGACAAGATGTTAGAGAAAAGGTACATAATATGAATAACTGAATATTGTTTAATGAATATTGTATTGTATAGGAACTAAAAGAAAAGGATCAAGACTTACTACAACACACTGAGGTCAGGGACAAAGATATTTTGAATTTTATATGTACCGGCATTTTATCACTTTTATTTTTTTTTCACAGGTTATTTCTTATATTATACTTGAAGAAACTGAATATAAACTAAGAAATGCTATCAGTAGCAAAGAGAAGGTATGTCATACTACCAGACTGTGCAATTACTGCAATGTAATGTTGTATGTATAGGAAAGTATTCAATTGAAACAAGAGATTAAAATACTGATATTACCTGAGGTTAGCGTAATGTACTGCTGTAACTGTAGTCGGTAAATTTAGTGGAGATCAATTTTTGTGAATTTATTTTGTTTGAGAATTAGATTTTGTGGTTTGATAGTTAATGTAATGGGTTCGTGCATGAGTAAGTTTTAATCTGATATTTTGTGTAAATGTAATTAAGGAGAGTCATTGTCTGTTTAAAGGTACATGTATATCTTAATGGTTTGTATTTATTAAAACAGGAAGAACCACTTTATGAAGAGTTGACTGTATTGAGGTCTCAGTTTAATGAGATAAAAGAAGAAAACAAAGAATTGTCTGACAAAATATTAAAAATGAAGATTGAGTATTTGAGATCACTTACTAGTAATACTGATTCAGGTTAGAGTAGTTTTTATTAATTATACTAATAATTATATAATTAATTAATTATAAAGCTGCCTGCAGAATGAGAAGAGGAATGACTTTTGAAATTGATGATTGCAAATTTCATCTTAAAGCAATGACAAGACCAGACTATCAGCCATTAGTAGATAATAAAAGAATAATAGAGAAATTACAAGAAAGAATAACATTAATGAATATGGAACTAATTACTGAAAGAGAACACAAGGAGAAGATTATAAAAGATATTAAAGGTTTTATTGATGATGTGTGTCATCATTTGATTGTTGATATATTTGAATAGATCATTTGAAAGAAAAAGAGACCGAGACTCAAGAGATGGTCATGAAAGATGATCATAAAGATCAGAAGGATCTTAATCCAAGGGATTTATGCATTGTAAGAAAGACTGAGACAGTGAATAATCTCTAAACTAGTTTTTATAGTTTCAGTTATTTTGTGTACATCCTGTCATTGGTGATGAAGTAGTGAAGTTCTTTAAAGTGCATAAAGATGAATTACTACCCAGTGTACTAGATAAAGCTTATGAGGTTTATTATCTTTAGTTGATTTGCTTGTGTATTTTTAAACTTCTCTTCATTTCTTTATCAGTTAATGGAATTAGCTCCTCATATTCCTATTGAGAGATGTCGTTTAGTTAAATATAATCCAGGTTTTGCAGCATTACATGAGTCCTTTGATCTTGATGAGGTAGTTAAATGTATTAAACTAATCTTACTATGTAGTTGTAAGTAGTTATTATTAATGGTTAGTTTATGTTATTATTGATGTATCTAAATATAGAACCTTTTAATGTTTTTAGTTCTGTACTGCATAGACAATAGTTAGTTGATTAGTACTTATTTACTTCCTTGTAAAACACTAAAGTCTAATTGTTATCAAGAGCAAACGCGTGCTATTGATTCTTACTAAGTCCCAAAGTTATAACATTAAATTTTATTTATTTTATTATTTTAATTAATTTAGTATGGAGATCAAACTATTGGACATCTTGCTGGCGGGACTGGAGTTCATATTTCATTTGGGTTATTATTAGAAATTCGTAAAGAAAATGGAACTTTTAAGAAATACAATGCTGGAGGTGGGTGTGGTTTGTTACCATGGCAATTCCTACATATACATATGTTTGATGGTGTAGGTATTTATTTAAAGGTATCAGTGGTTGATCTGTCAACTGGTGAAGTAGAACCAGCTGTACCAGTGAGAGGAGAAAGAGGTTGGACTGTTGGAGCATTAAAACAGCATATAGGAGAAGTAAGGGGAAGGATATGTATTGTGATTTATATTGTTCTCATTCACTTGATTTGGTCTATGTCTTTCCTTAAGCCTGGTTTAATGAGACACCTACGGTGCTTGGACTCGCACAGTTGCTTTTGAATTTATGCACTATAAGAAACAATGAATCATGGGTTTCATCTCTATTATGCAGCATGATAGAGATAATGACCATGATTCCGCATTGCCGCTTTCAATTAATATATAGTGTATGTTTTGCACTGACTCAAGTCAAAAGAGCTTTAAAAACTGACACCTAGACTATGATGGCACAGATACTGTTGTCTTGATAGATTTTATTTGCCTAAGAGATCATACATAAGACAGCAAACAACAAGCGTAACAGTGTAAAAATAATTCCTATAATTGATTTCACCACCTTGCATGCATAGCTAGGCACTCATTAAGACTTATAGAGGTTCTCTCTACCTGCAACTGCTTCTAGAGAAGTTGTTAGACAGTATCTCTATGTTCTCTGGCTGTTAGAAAGCTCTTAACTTTGTCCCGTGTGTAAGCCGCCATTTTGTCTTGCCGTGGCCACACCCACTTACGTAAAGGAGCGTGGGCGGGTGGTTGCTAAGGCTTGTTATTTCTCCAATACAACATGTATAGAAGAAATGTAAGTGTGGACATACAAATATAATATATAGATAGCGCGACGGTGAAATCAATTATAGGAACGACCTGGGGGCTTCGCCCCCAGGTCGTTAAAAAAATTATGTATTAAGAAATCCAAGCAGCAATGCAAGCATGTAAAATTGCCAATTATTTATAGAGGCGTGGTTTCTGTGCCAATAAAATGGCCTTAGTATGACATGTGACTGAAGAAGCTTAAGTTTTTTTCTTCTTACGAGTGGCTTATGACAAGTAATGCGGCACAATACTGCTACCAAAATACTTTTGAAAGAGTTGAGAGAGTCTAGTACTGCTAGCCTGCCATACTGTATTTCCGCATCAACCCTTCCCAAAGTAGTCTCGTGGAGCCAGGCTCCGCGAGACTATCCCAAAGTCGGACGGCCAGGATGAAGTTTGGAGCATAAGTTGCTACCAAGTAAGAATTAAGAAATTCTACACATATTAATGAATTAGAAGGTAGTTTTCTACTGGAAAATGGTTGTCTATCTCAAGAGTGTCAGTATATTTTTTAAATTTTTCTCCCTTACTTTGCAAGCTTCTTCTCCCTAGCGCTGCTCCTTAAACATTTTTAGCTGATAAATGAAGGCTTGGACTAGCTATGGAGACAGATCTATGAGTCTAGAGGACTTAATTTTTTAATTAAAAAAGTTTTTTTAAAATCTCATTAAGATTGCAGGACAACCCAAGTACTTAATACTCGCCTACATGGCGAGTCCAATTACAATAACTGTCATTTTTAAATTTAAATTCAGTGATTTGACCTTTTGACACATGCTTAGAACTGACTAAATTCTACTCCAGCATCAAAGACTAGTATAATATTGTAAACCCCCCTTTATAGGTATTTAACATCAATTTATCATGTATGAGATTAGTAAGGAACGAGTACAGTCATAAATTTGATGAGCTCAGAAATGAAGAAAGATTGATGTTCTTTGGATTAGACAAAGTTAGTTTAAATATACAGCTCAGACTATTATACACTTTATATTGACAACCCGGTTACAATTTGTGATTTTTGTATACACATTTATTGCTGAAGAAGTGAGCATGCACATTAATAATTGGTTGTTTCAATATTGACAATTTTGCTTGCAAATTGCCCAAATTAAAGCACTACATGGATAACAGAATTAATGTATTTCTACCAATATTCATTGTGGTAGCTATATAGACCCCCCTAGGCACTAAGACTATTTTCAATAAATCATTTATGGTAACCACCCACGATATAAATTACTGACAGCAAGAAGCTCTCCACATCAAAGGCAGATCAAAGCCAAAGGTGCTGAAATGAAGCATAGCAAGAGTTACCTGGTCTATATGATATAGCCTGGCCTCCATACTTTCCATAAATGCTGGTTGTAAGCCTGTAGTACCTTGTAGCGTTCACAAAAATGGCCAGGCGGTGTCACCACCTTTGATTTTCTTTTGATTTTGAAGCCTTTGTGTTATCAGTGATTCACATCGTGGGTGGATATTGTATAGGAAAAATTTATTCATTATGAATGAATATCATTATTGTAATCATATTCATTGAAAATTGTCTTAGTGCCTAGGGGGTCTATACTGTATAGCGCAAAATTTTTGAGGGCTATAAATTTTGCGATTTTTTGAAGAATTGCGAAAATTACTTCCGCAAAAATTAAAATAAATTCGCAAAAATTAAATACACAAAATAGATTTTTAGACAAATTCGCGAAATTTATAGCCCTCGAAAATTTTGCACTATACGGTAGTCATAATATCTCACTATAATTTATTTGTATTTATCTTCCTTCCCTCTTATTGCATCAGTTCTATGTATCATCAGATCCTAAAGATTATCAAAAAAAATTCAAAGATAGTTTGATGTACAGATATATTAAGTTTCACAACAACTCAATACTACTGAACATTACACTACCTCCTGGACCTGAAACCATACCCACTACAACTAATATAAGAGAGGGTGAAATAATGATAATGATATCAATGAAGAATAAAGATAAAGGAAAAGAAAGAAGTAATGACAAATATCATTAGCAATTATTAACATTATTATTACTCAATACAGAGATACAGGTACGAGTTAGTAAGAGTGTAACATTAGCTCAATTGAAGGAGGAGCTAGTTCCACTGATTGGTGTACAACCTTCTGGTTTTAGAATGTATAGAATTGGTAGGTATGGAGAATATGAAATAAAGGAACTATATAAGGCATTAAATGATGCCTCGAAATTAGAGGTATGTTCATAAGTTATTTCTCATTTCCATTATATTTACAATAAATACTAATGCAGTATAGTCATTCTGTCATAGTCATAGATCATTTATATACATTGTATAAGGTTGGGTGAAATGCTCAAAATGACAAATGGTCAGGGGGTCAAATGAACAATTACCTCTACCTCTTCCTTTCAAATGGAGAAGACCTTAGACTAGGAGACCTTCAAAGGTTTGTTTAAACTGAAGAAAGGACTTACCAAAGGAGAAGTGTCTAAAAAATACCAGTCGTGCTTGCCATCACAAATGTCATACTACTGCACATTGATAAATTATCTAGGAACTTTTGTGGTTTCTTTTATCTTGCATTAAATCTGTTCTATTTTTGAAACAAGCTGAAGTTGCCTTATAAAAATGTTGGGTTAAAGTGTGCTATTAACTCTATACTTTGTCTTTGTTTATTTACTACTAGTTGAGAGTAAGACTGGGTAGAGCATTAGAAGAAGGAGAGAAAAGAGTTAAATTATATTTATTACAAGTTAACAATACAAAGGTAGTTAAGAATTACTATTATACTGTATATTATAGTTAACATTGTATTTTTAGTTTTGTAAGTTTATGATGGAGTCTATTGTTACTAAGGATACACCAGTGGGAGAATTTAAGAAACAAATTATTGAAGAAGCAAAAGTACAAGGAATTGACTGTGTCCTTGAATTAGACAAGTAAGTACATCATGTGACTATCATGTGACTATCATGTGACAATCATGTGTAGAATGAGACTACGTTACAAGATTGGAGTGTCCCCTGGTGGAATATATCTTGATCATGAGAGGATTATTAATGCTAGTATGGAAATGTATGTGGAACCATTGAAAGGTTGGTATATTTCAGTATATTTTAGTGTATGTGATTTGAATTTTATAATTTTCATTAGGACCAGAGAAGAAGAAGCATGATGGACAGAGACAGGTGTATGTTATAAGATGGCGTCCATCACAATGTTCAGTTGATCCAATAGAAGAAATTATACTGGATAATGATGATGATTTTATGAATGCTATTGGAATTCAGGTAATTGTTTGTAAAATACATGTAGAAATAAAAAGAATAATATACAGAATTTTTTTACAACCTTGGGGCTGTTCCTAAGATTGAATCCAGCCAGAGGAGGTAGGACACGGTTGACCTTTGAGCAATAATTGCAAAGTTCAATTGCATTCCATTGGTATCACGTGATGAAAAATGGCAGCTTTCTGATGATTGTATCACGAAACTAGCTACTACTGCAGAAACTAGAGAGATCTATGACGACCCTTGACGGTTGTTAAAATCACCATTGTATGGAGAATATTTCTTCTTTGATTATAGACATGAATATAAGAAGGAGAAAGAGACAGTGCATCTTAACTTTGATTCTCTTCTTTACTTCATCAGATAAATCAATCTTCGCTAGTTTAAGATGTTAAAAATTACTGCACCTATCATAGTTTCTAGTGAATTAATGAAAGTCCCATTGACTCTATCTTGATGCTCTAAATTATTGTTAGAAGTGGTACTAGTGGAAGAATTTGGCCATTTTGCATCACGTGATACCAATGGAATGTAATTGAACTTTGCAATTATTAATCAAAGGTCAACCGTGTCCTACCTCCTCTGGAATCCAGCCCTGCAATGTATATATATATAATTCTACCATGCTTTTTTGAATTGACCAATCAGATTTTATTGTATGAGGTGTCTAAATCACTTATAATACCCCGGGAAATTATTTAGAAACCTCTGCCAAAGTTTGGGAAATTTTAGTAATGATAGTAATGTTATGCCAAGTTTTAATTGACCAATCAGATTGCAGAAAACTGGGGTTTTTATTCTAAATCTATTTGATACCTCCCACAAACACTTAGAAACCTGGCGCTCTAGGCTTATGCTCTTATTAGTCCATTTGTCAAGTTTGGTTGATTCTTTACTGCCTAGCCTATTAGATATGTTGTATGTATGTCAACTGTGGTCTTATTATCAGCAGGTGGTAGTTGTTTTTCAAATGTTGTGGTAGAAGTTAGTTATATATACAGTGGAACCCCTTAAACAAGAAGGTGCACTATAAAACCATTCACGCAACGTCATGAAATCGCTTCCGTCGATCACAGTATAAAAGGAGGTGCCCTGGGCACAATATGGCGGCCAGATTGAATGAAATTTGAAAATAACAAAATGGCTCCCGCACTGGCACTGTTCTTATCATGGCTAAATCACGAGCAAAACGCATTATAAAAACATTAAAATTAGCAAAGGTGAGAGAGTTAACCTACAAGCACACCTAGAAAGCACAGCAAGGAGAGAAATGGTATAATTGACTTGAAGTAATAATTTTACATTATTATCAAATATTATATTGTATATTCTGAAAAATCTGCCAACAGCCTAAGAAACACGGTCAATGATGCTGTCAGGCAGGTAATAAGTGATAGTGGCAAGGGAATAGCCCTCACTACTACACAGAAAACCAGCCCAAGAACCGCCACTACTGGGACCAGACAGCCCTGCCGACTACCATATATCAGCCACCATCATCAAGTATAAGTGGTTCCAGCAAAAGACCCCAACATGGTCCTCCGCAATCAGATCCTAGTACTGGTAGCAGTTGTAACATTCAACGATCTACTGGAAGAAGTAAATACAAAACTATTATTCTAAATTAAAAAAAAAATAAACATTATAGGGTTGAATAGATATTGGGATGGTGAGGAGCCTCCTGTATCTGTGTACCTCTTCCCAACTGTGCCCAGTGATGCCGACAAAAATATGGCAGTACTATGATGGTAATATACCAGTACAAGAAAAATGCTAGTACGAGCCTAAAAATATAATGCCACCATATGATTACTTTACATTACAAATAATACTTACTTCTGTATCTAGTGCCTAATAAACTTGAGTTACGATTACAGGACTCACAACTGGGATTGAATCGAAATTCAGCACAGATCACATGACGATCTAAAATTATGAATATTTAATAATAATAATACTAACAAAGAATACCTGTCTGTAACTGATCATCCTTCGGTCAACCATACCACACTAACACTATAATGTATGTTTCCCAATAGCCGATCCTATATCTATGCACAAAATGGCTGCTCTTCGTCCCCATCACCCATACCTTATTTATATATAATCACTAATTTAAACACATTATAACTACCTGAAGTATTGAGCATAGCAGAAGAACTACTAGTATCATGTGATAGAGCCTCAGAATGATTCTCTTTTTAAACTAAATCGGCGAGTAAATGAGACAGCAGTTCCAGCGCCTTCTTTTAGTGCCTAAAGACCCCTTAACTCGATCAAGCCTAACTAGAACTGGTCCTTGTCTTCTTTGAGGGTAAAATGGAAGTCCATTTGGTACCAAAACCCCTTTCTTCCTGCGTTTTTCCTTGAAGAAGCAACACCATCCAGAGCCGACATTTTTACATGTGAATAGACCTCTTCAGGTGAGATTGACGGTGGCCTATGAATATCATTACTGTTTATTACGGTATCCACCTACGGTGATAATTGGCCGCCATTTTGGACGGCAAGATTCAATGGAGGATAGATGAAGAAAAGGCAAAACTAATCCTTTTCGTTGGCATGGAGCTTTTTCAAGCTACAAAAGCTGGTTGGAGGAAAGAATGGTCGCTGCTAAGCATCTCCTAAAAGAGATTTGGTGCAATATGAAGTATATTCTTTAATAGAGCTTGCTTTCTGCATTAGCCCATTCATGCTCCATAGAAAGTTGCCGTCCACGAAAATTATTTCAGAGTCAGCCAGGCTCAGTCACGCCCCTTGCCGTATATCATTCTTTGACGTAATTCATTCTCACCCAAAGAGGTCTATAAAACGGAAGCCACCATGCCCAGGGCCCCGCCTTTTATACCGCACCTTCTCGTTTAAGGCTATTTGCATCCATAGCTGGCATTAATAATGATAGGGGCTGCCTCATAGTGTCTCAATAATGGAAGCCACAAAGGAGGAGGATCATGTTGAAGACTGGATGCTCGCCTCCATGGAAGCATCTCCACTTTCTCCAGCATCCCGCACTAGATCTTTCAAGAAGCTAGAAGAAGAGCTGACTTGTGAGGTCTGCTTAAAAATTTACCAGGATCCCAAGACATTGCCTTGCCACCATTCCTTCTGCCTGAAGTGTCTGGAGGAAATACCCAATCAAAGTGATGAGCTCACTTTAAGCAGCATCAAATGCCCTTTGTGTCGTTCCCCTGCCGAGATACCTCTGCAAGGTGCTGCTGGGCTTCCGCCAGCCTTTCATATTAACAACCTCAAAGAAGTTTACAATCTAATGATAGCTGAATCGAAAAAAGTAGCAGATGAGGAGGTAGTGTGTTACGTTCAAACACACGATGAGCCATTGAAGTATTATTGTAATACTTGTAGCAAAAGCATCTGCCGTGACTGTGCCATACTTGATCACAAAGAGCACAAGTATTCGCTGATATCAGACATCTACAACGCCCACCATTGTCAATTGGAATCGACTCTGAATGGTGTCAGTGATAAAATTAGTGATGTGCAAAAGGCCATTGATTCTTTATCACAAAGAAAGAAATATATTTCGGAGCAAAGCAAAGTAGTCGGAAAAGAAATACAGTTAAAAGTCGAAGCTATCATACAAAACCTCAAAAAGTCTGAAGCAAGGATAACAAATGACTTGGACAGTATCACTAACACTAAACTCCAGGTGTTATCTGATCAAAAAACGGCAGCTGAAATAACTTTAAAACATCTCATAAGCTGTAAAGAAAATGTAGAGTTAAGTCTGAGAGAAAAGAGTCGCATAAAAGTAATTGAAACCGAGAAGCAAATGATGGATTGCATGAGTCGTGTAGTTAATGAAAGTGCATCTAAAATGAATGAGTTCAGCCCTTTTGAGACAGCCAGTATCCAGTTTATAGCAACCGATAGCAATCCATCACTTGGAATCATTGCAGCTTCATCTTCACCTACTACACTAGAGCAGCATAATTTTGAAGGAAAGGTTTCTGGCCTACGATATTATAAGAAAGAAAATGTGCTTCAATTCTCATTAACAATCCATCTATTGGAATCTTGTATTGTCTCTGTTCCTTTTGTAGCTTTAAAGTTTAGTCTAATACCAGCTCAAGGCGTTAATGGATCCATTGATCCTGCTGTTACTGAAATACCTAATGGTCCTGGAAAGTACAGAATATCCTGTTCTCCTACAACCAGTGGAATTCATAGGATTAAAGTCCAAGTACATGATGTCTCACTTAAGGATACTTTGCTAGTCATACCATTCAATCCTTACCATCTTGATGCAGCTAGGCCTTTGAAATCCATTGCCGGACTTAAACGTCCCTGGGGCGTTGCTGTAAGCAGTGATGGCCATATTATGGTAACAGAATGGGGTAATGGCTGCTTATCTATCCTAAATAAAGAAGGGCTAAAACTAACTTCGATTGGTGGAGAAGATGGAATAGGATCTATCAAGTTTGTCTCTCCCCGTGGTGTAGCCATGACTCATGATAATCTCATTCTGGTTACTGATGACCACAGAATATGCAAGATAGCAATGAATGGTAACTGCATTGCATCCGTTGGTGAAAAAGGGTACGGTAGGCTACAATTTAATACGCCCTCTGGTGTCACAGTTTCTCCTATAACCAGCCAGATTTTTATAGCTGATCGTTACAATCATCGCATACAAGTACTCAATCAAGACCTAACTTTCTCACATTGTCTTGACAAGCAGGGAACTGGTCCTGGAGAGTTCTTTAAACCACGTGGTGTTGCCTTTGACACTGAAGGATCATTCCTGTATGTTGCGGACTGCAATAATCACCGGATTCAGAAATTTACTCCAGAGGGAAAGTTTGTGGCTCAATTTGGCAGTAAAGGATCTGATCCTGGTCAGCTCTTTTCGCCTGGTGCTATTGCTATTGATGATAACAATTTAGTGTATGTTACAGAATGGGAGAATAGGAGATTGTCTGTCTTTACCGGCAATGGAGATTTTGTTAGTAGCTATGGTGGCAATGGTAGTAGTAATCAGTTTAAACCTTCGACAGGTATAGCTTTTGATGGCAAAGGGACAATGTATGTTTGTGATTTTGATAACAACAGCTTGGTGATGTATTAATAATTCTTTATGCTAGGCTCTGTAAAATAATTATTTTTGAATTTATTATTATTATTTGCTGCACAATTAGTGCCTCCTAATAAAGATGCTGCTCAATGTTAGTATAAAAATAGAGAATAGGTCACCAGCCTAGAGTCGTTGGTGTGACTAGTCGATGGAATAAAATGTGATTCAAAGCATCATCATGTAATATCTAAACATTAATGATAACGATCAAAATTATGTGGATGGAATGGGAATTATTACTGAGAAGTCCTGGGCTCTTTGAAACTGATCTCAAAAGTCACAATTGAATCATTATCAAGGAAATAACACTCTTATTTTTCTGTATAAGACCCCTTCTGCTTCTACAATGGTTGTCTGCGGCCATACCACGTTGAAAGCACCAGTTCCCATCTGAACACTGAAGTTAAGCAACGTCGGGCCGGCTTAGTACTTGGATGGGTGACCGCCTAGGAATCGCCGGTGTCGCAGACTTTTTATTTTATTTTTAATATTCATTTTCTTTTTATCTGTTCTATTCTTTTTTTGGCAAGTTGGATAGGCACAATAAGCATGAATAAAACCAGAGGAAGCTCCAAAAGCATGAATTCAACATGAAGAATTGTAGCAACAAGAAGTAAGTGACATGGCAGGCATCTTATATTATCTGTATCATGTGTTTAATCTTAAAATAAGTCAAACAGCACTGAAGCAAAAGGGCATGGCACTTAGATAATCACCTGTCCATTGCTTGCCAGCTATGACTTAATTGTATTACTTGTTCACACTTCATGTAATAAAATGTTGATGTTACACTCAGTGTTAATTAGCACATGCCGAACTATTTCGTTGCTTTCAATTATTATGTATAATTATTTCTAATTATAGGTATTTCATATTTGTCGACCATGCCACACCCAGTCATGTTACACATCTCATCCTCTTTAATAATACTTCATAATACTCACACGGTCAGTCAGAATGTTAATACTGCATATTACGTATTTATAGCCCTTTAATTTTTAAAGTTGCAAAACACCTTGTACAAGATAGTTTGCCGTTAGTGGTTAGAAGTTTTACTTTTATAAATTTATCTCGTAGCATGTTTCTATTTTGTGTAAAAAGTTTGAGCTGTGTCTGATTGAAATTAGATTTTTAAAGCAGTAGCTCTAAAATTGGGGCTAATGGCTAAAGCCTATAATAGCATTTGGTCTGAGGCCAAATTTTGTCAAAAAATTTTGCATCACTAGCTGACTGAGAGGAGCTGATAGACATACCGGAGGAGGAGAGGAGAACATATCCTAGCTGTTGCGGATTCAATGAAGACATGAGCTTATTTTTTCACTGTATGGGTTGTTGAGCTACCCTTTTTCACAGTGACCTGCTTTTAGTCCCGATCATGTGAGAGGGAAGGGGAAGGTTAGCGAAGGGGGGATGGTTCTGCCCAGGAGTGTGGGCGAGGAGTCCCCCTTTTGGGTCCGATAGTGGCTCCCCGTATCTCATGCTAGAGCCCTCTCTTCTCTTTCACTCTTTTTCCTTTTTGTGCGATATGGATTCTAAGCAGAAGAAAGGATTAGACTTTTTCTTTTTTATGTCTCGATCCTTTAACTAACTAAAATCAGGCAAGCACTATACAGTTGGTCTAAGCTGGGTCATAGTGGGTAGATTGGTGAGGTTTGTGATGCAGGTAGCCTGACGGTCCTGGGCACTAGCTTCCTAATTCTCATTCTGAACTCTTTCTCGATCCCATGGCTTTGACTTACGATCAATTGTTGAGTGTTTGCTCCAGCTTTCAAAATAAGTCAATAGCTCTCATTGTAGGTTTATGATCAAATGTAGTGTTACAATTACGTGTGTGATCTGACATTTTGATGCAAATAACGTGTTAAGTTGACACAATATTAATGAAATCTCAATTCTGCATTGCATTTCGTGGCGAGTGTCTATTGTTAATTTATAGGATGCACAATTAATTTTTAATTTAATAATTATTCTTGATTAATATACATATTGTGTGGTAAATTGTGTATTAATATTACTCTTATTATGTTAAGGTTGTAGACTGTAGAGGTTGCAATATCAGACAGTAATGGTAGGAGGTAGTAATAGGTCATTAGATAATGGTACACTATTAAGATAACTTGTCTTACATTGTGTATACAATATAAGTTGTAGGTATAGGTAATATGGTATGGTATTAAGATAGGAATGTATTTGCATAGCAAGGTTTTTATGGTATGGGTATCATTGTGTCATATTAAGGTTCATAGGTTAATATGTTAATGTAGGTATAAATATAATGGTATGGTATTAGTAGGTATCATTGTGTAGTTTAAAGGTCATAGGTATAGTAGTGGGAGAAATTAGAAGGGTACAGGTTATATAGTGTAGGTATAGTAGTAGAAATTATAGATAACATGTAGTTATACCTAGGATATAGGCTATAGTGTAGAAATTAGAAGGTAGTTATATAGTGTAATTGTAGTACTTAGTAGAAATTAGGAAGCAGGTATAGTTATATTAGGCTATGGTGTAGGTATTGTATAGTAGAAATTAGAAGGTATAGTTATAGTATAGAAATTAAGAAACAGGTAGTTGTAGGATACAGGTTATATAGTGTAGGTATAGGTTATAGATCTAGGTTTTATTATTTAATTATTTATTTTATAATTAATGTTATTATTTTTTAATAATTAAATTTTATTATCATTTTTTATGATTTATTATTATTTTTACAACCTAGGGCCTCAGCAAGAGTGTTGGGCCCCAGGTTTTTATAATTTTTGGGCAGCAATGTAGTGCCGCCTCCACGTGGCGCTGCCTGGGATCACTAGTGGCTACTACTGCTAGTGATGCTAAGAGCACTACATACAACATAAATATGCATATTTTGTTAGATTTTAATGTTCCTAAACATGACTTTAAACTGTTTCTAAGTTTAGGGTCCTAAACATGACTTTAAACTGTTTCTAAGTTTAGGGTCCTAAACATGACGTTAAACTGTTTCTAAGTTTAGGGTCCTAAACATGACGTTAAACTGTTTCTAAGTTTAGGGTCCTAAACATGACGTTAAACTGTTTCTAAGTTTAGCTAATAATATTCTATGGCATAGTGCAATAGGATATTACATGTAAATCTATGATATTTTGTTATGTTATAGTATGCTTGGCGTGTCACACTGCATTGTCATGTCATACATGTTCCTCTTATGGTGACCCAGTTTATGTTCCCCTTACATAATGAATGCACTCATAAGTGGCTCATGTATACCCGTATATATACATCATTATAATTATACCAAAAGTACTTAGGTTAATGTATTACACTGTAGGTTAATGTATTTTGACAAAGTGTATGTTTTGTTTTCAGTATCTAAACATCAAATCTTCCTGGACTCTTTTAATGGATTAAGGTAACCAGCAATAGATTCTATTACCTCATAAATTACTGCTTTCTTCCTAGGGTGGGCAGCAGCATAGCGCTACCTCCCCGTGGTGCTGCCTGGGGTCACTAGTATGTATTGTATAGGTACTGCTAGTGATGCTAAAAGCGCTAAAAGTGCTATAAGAAGACAAGAGGCCTGAAATGAGCTTAAGGTACTTCTTATTTTTATTATTTATTCTATAATAGTTATCCTTACGATTCTAGAGATTGCGACAGTGACTGATATTACAACTATTGTATCTCCTGAGGCTGGATAGTACAACTCTGTAAGACCATGAAAAGATTATACTCACAATATGTACATGTATGTACCAATGTATGGTAGAGTCTATAAGAAATTTAATGACTTTGATATAGGTTTTCGTCAGAAATAAAGAAGCAATGTGAAGCAAAAGATTTATAAAGACAGAGACATTGAAACTTCCTCTCTAGCTCTCTCTCTCTCATTGGACATTATTATTTCTCATTTTAAATTATTTTATTTTAATTTTTATTGCTGATTTTAAAACAGCGAGAAGCCATCATGGCTAATGCTAGTCGCTAGTGTATCAACATTATAGCTTACTAGTAAGTGATATGATTAAATTTTGATAAATGATCAGCAATCGTACCTGTCAGGATTGTACCAGTATAGATGAGCTTGATTAATAATTCATTCTGGGCAACATGACATCATGTGAGTGGGTGGCACTGCACTGCAGCTAAACAATACGCCGCGCGCACCTCCTGACCTCCCCTCTTAAGATAATTTTAGAAGAAGCATAGGAGGAGGCTGTCTAACTTAGAGAAGACTTTACAGAGCCCAGGCATTTAACTCCAGACAATATGGCTGGTGTGGCATCTTCTATTTGCCAAAGTGCACTTGGCTGCATCACAAAAATCAACAATTCAGTGGCCTTGATGCATCATGCAGACAGACTCCGTGATCAAATTGTGAGAAAAACCGAAGATATTCAATCCCAGCTACAAAGACTTAGAAATCACAGTGATGATAAATTTACGAGTGACATGACAAGGGTGCTTCAGGAAGTGTTTGATAGATTACATGCATGTGAAGGACGGTGTCAAGAGCTAGCGGATCAATGGCGTGTCAAGCAGTTTTTTATGGCGGCTTCTAACAACGAGGCGCTAAAATTCTTACAAGTGGAGCTTGATCATGTTCACGACAACTTAGAGAGTCAAGTAATTTGTGCCATCACTGAACAAGTGTCCGCTGTCAAGATGGAATTGAAAGACGGGATAAAAGAAGTCAGTAGAGATATTGCCTACCCTCAGGCAGGATTATACCCAATTAGCTCTGGCGTTTTAAAACCCCCTGCTGTGGTTAGTAAACCAGTAGTTGATATTGAAGGCGAGACGATGATAGTTAGCTGGAAAGATAACGACAATTCCCCTGGCTCGTTAGTCATGTATGAGGTACGAATAGATGATTCTAGAAATGTAATGTTTCCATGTTCACCTCAATACAAGTCCCTCTGTATTGGTCCTCCAAAAATAGAACCAGGAATACTCTATACAATTCAAATACGCGGGGTTAATGGGAGAGGGCCAGGAGAATGGAGTGAGAAAACAATATCACGTTTTAAAATGGCTCCACCAAAACGACCAGATAAGCCTGAAATAAATCCCACCTATACTGATGCTAAGATATCAGTCCGCATTCCAGGCCTTAAGGAAGCAAATGGGACACCAGTTGAGAAAATAACAGTCCAGTATTGTGAATATGACAATAGTGGCAATTGGGAATCAGAAACCCTCACAATACCAAAGAAGGAATCACAACATATTCACGAATTTGTAATGCATGATCTGTCTTTGAACACACGTTATTTTTTTCGAGTTATTCTCATCAATGAGTCTGGGGAAAGTGTACCAAGTGAATCAGTTGATATCACAACTGATGTTCCAATACCAGGAGAACCAACAAACATCAGGCCATCATCTTACTTTACTTCAGATATGATAAAAATTCGTTGGAATCCTCCTATAGAATATCCTGAGTTTGTTGATCACTATGAAGTGCAGTACAAGAGGAGGAAGAAAGAATTTGATTTATCAGAAGAATACAAAGTCACCCAGACTACAAAGCTTTCTGCAAAAGCTCCAAACCTAAAATCAGATACGTGGTATGTCTTCTTTGTAAAGGCTGTGAATAAGAATGGAAAGTCCAGTAAAGCAGCCAGAGTAGAAGCTGAGACAAGATGGAAGAAAGCAGCTAAAGCAGTACTGAGCCCTTTTGTTTTCATTGGTGGAACATTAGGTGGCCCTGTAATAGGTGCTGGTATGGGAGGATCAAAAGCTGCTGAAAATGCTGATACCAAAGCAGGATCAGTTGCTGGAGCAGTGGGTGGAGCAGTAGGCGGAGGTCTCTTGGGTACTGTTGGAGCTCCAGTTTTGGGTGCTACTTGTGCACACTTATTTGTGCATGGGTCTGTGTACAGTGATCAAAGTGATGATGAAAATTAACTTTTTTTTGCTGAACAATGTAATTATAGCTATAAAAAAGATCTATAATTATTTTTAAACTTTAGTAGTGTGCTGTAAATGTCACAATGGCTGCATTGATTTTAATTTTAATTGCATTAAAAATATATTGTCAAGAGAGCTGGAATGAGCTTAAGGTGCTTCTTATTTTTATTTAATAATTATCTTTACACTTCTAGAAATTGTGACCAAGTGTAGTGATGCTAAGAGCACTACAAGACTATAACAAGATTATGCTACCAGTATGTACCAATGTATAATAAGGAATTTTAATAATGACTTTGATATAGGTTTTAGTCTGAAATAAAGAAGCAGTGTCAAGCAAACGATTTATAAAGACAGAGACATTGAAACTTCCTCTCTCTCTCTCTCTCATTGGACATAATTACTTCTCATTTTAAATTATTTTGTTTTAATTTTTATTGCTGATTTAAAATGAAGCGAGCAGCCATCATGGCCTATTTTAGCTGTTATAAAGCCTAATGCCAGCAAAAATCACATACACCCACTTCCTTCTAAAATTTTTTATGAATCTTCTATGCATTATTCATCTAAAGTACACCTGTCCATAATAATATCTATCTAATAATGATAATTATTATGTTCAGTAATTATTATGTCTTGCAGGCATCTCTTTATGCACGTACATGCATAAGTTCAATTAGAATGTTTGCACTTTATATAATAGTTCAGTAATGATTCTCTGTGTATTCTTATGTCGGTAGACATTTAAGCCCTCCATACACAAGGCAACATGTTGCTAGCAACATTTGTGGTTACTTTGATCTCTTGAGCAACTTGTTGCAAAAATAAACTAATTTCTATTCCTAGCAACATAGTGATTAGAGCTACAAGCACAAATGCTGCTAGCAACATATTGCCTAGTGTATGGGGGCTAGGGTTGAGCCTATTATGCTCATTATTATTCTTTCTGGAAATTCTCAATATTTTCCCCTATTATTCTTTTCATTTTATCCTGTTATTCTCAGTTTATTCTCAATAATTTTCTCAAACAATCAATTTTCACCAAAAATTGCATTTCAGTAGTGTCTTAAAAATAGGTCTTCCAAAAACACTAGACAAAATTTTAAAAATATTTTTCTGCAATTACCATTAACTCCACCCATTATTCCACTATTATTCCTATTTCCACTCAATTATTCCATGCAGCATTATTTCTCATATGAGGAAGCCCCTATTAGTATTATTCCTAAAATTATGCTGGCATAATAGGCTCATTCCTAATGGGGGCCTTAAGAGCACACGCAAACACAGACTGAAGCAAAGGTTAAGAGAGTCAAGTAATTTGTTTGGAGTCTGAGCAAGTGTCTGTTGTCAAGATGGAATTAGAAGATGAAATGAAAGAAGCAGAACTGTACCCAATTAGCTCTGGGGTTTCAAAAACCCCTGCTGTGGTTAGTAAACCAGTAGTTGATATTGAAGGTGAGATGATGGTAGTTAGTTGGAAAGATAGCAACAATTCACCTGGTTCATTAGTCATGTATGAGGTACGAATAGATGATTCTAAAAATGTAATTTTTCCATGTTCACTTCAATACATGAACTCTCTCTGTATTGGTCCTCCAAAATTAGAACCAGCAATGATCTATACAATTCAAGTACGTGGGGTTAATGGGAGAGGGCCAGGAGAATGGAGTGAGAAAACAATAGCACGTTTTAAAATGGCACCACCAAAACGACCAGATAAGCCAGGAGTAATCCCCAGCTATACTGATGCTAAGATATCAGTCCGCATTCCAGGCCTTAAGGAAGCAAATGGGACACCAGTGGAGAAAATAACAGTCCAGTATTGTGAATATGACAATAGTGGCAATTGGGAGGCAGAAACCCTTACAATACCAAAGAAGGAATCACAACATATTCATGAATTTGTAATGCATGATCTGTCTCCAAACACACGTTATTTTTTCCGAGTTATTCTCATCAATGAGACTGGGGAAAGTGTACCAAGTGAATCAGTCGATATCACAACTGATGTTCCAATACCAGGAGAACCAACAAACATCAGGCCATCATCTTACTTTACTTCAGATATGATAAAAATTCGTTGGAATCCTCCTATAGAATATCCTGAGTTTGTTGATCACTATGAAGTGCAGTACAAAAGGAGAAAGGATGAATTGGATTCATCAGAAGAATACAAAGTCACCCAGACAACAAAGCTCTCTGCAAAAGTTTTAAACCTTAAATCAGACACGTGGTATGTCTTTTATGTAAAGGCTGTGAATAAGAATGGGAAGTTTGGTGGAATAGCTCGAGTAGAAGCAGAGACAAGATGGAAAAAAGCAGCTAAAGCAGTACTGAGCCCTTTCGCTTTCATTGGTGGAACATTAGGCGGCCCGGTTTTAGGTGCTCTTGGAGAGGGACTATTTGCTACTAAAAATGCTGATACCAAAGCAGGATCAGTTGCTGGGGCAGTAGGTGGAGCAGTAGGTGGATGTATCTTGGGTACCATTGGAGCTCCAGTTATAGGTATCGCTTGTGCACACTATTTTGTGCATGGTCTTCCACTGGACAGTGATCAAAGTGATGATGAAAAATAACTATAGCAATCATTTTTTTTGCTAAATAATGTAATTATAGCTATACAAAGATCTACATGTATGAATTATTAAACTTTAGTAGTGTACTGTAAATTTCATATTGGCTACATTGATTTTGATTTTAATTTTAGTTGCGTTTTTAAAGAATATTGTCAAAAAGGCTGTGTTGTGTGTGTGGAGTAACATCATACTATAGTAAATTAGTAGTTTCTCAGAATCATTTTACTATAATTATATTATGGCAAAAACAAATGCTTTTCTAAATTTAGTAGTAGTGCCTAGTGGATTTCAGTGTCCAAATCATTCTATTTTTGCCACACTATTCTTTTCTATACAAATGATGGAAGAATCTTAGTTCAGTTAAGATGAAGATAGATTATGCTCTATCCAATGAACACAAGCTCATGTAGAAGGGCAAGCTATTTTACATGCACATGTATAATGGAAATTAGTCTGGCCCCGGAAATAGGCTTTTTGAAAACTGCTATACGGTACAATCTCATTGTTACTAAAATGGAATATACATAATAATTATTTACTCTCTACTGTTCAGTAATGTTATTTAATAAATGTAGTCTTGTCCTTATTCTGATGTTGGTAGACGTGGTTCCATTGAGGGTGGGCATGGTATAACCACAGACACCACATCCTGTACAAAAATAAAAGAATCATCATATAAACATTGTATGGTACTATAAAAATAATATTAAATAAAGGAAAAAATAAATTTAAATATAACACAACAACATTGATAGCTTGTAACCTCTAAAAAGTATGATGGCTTACTGGTAAGTGATATTGGTTGCAAGCATTTATTAGTCTCAATAGACTGGTATCCTGTATCAATGATGAGAGGGGTAATGCACTGTAATACTGTCTTCTCCTTTCTCTCCTCCTCCTCCTCCTACTCTATCATATATCTCTTGTATTGATTCATGAGAAAGAACTGACTCAGTCCTCCAGTCAACACTCACAGCACTTCTACCATAAATACACTGCATTAACTGCTGGACCTGAGGAGGGAGAGAGAGAAAGAAATCAATAGGTAAGAGGAAGAAACACAAATGTAACTACAAGAGAGGAGAGAGACATACATGTACATGTACATGTAAGACAGAGTGGTCAATATGTACATGTACATATATATTTCATTACTTGTTTGTGATTAAGACCTTTCCACATAGTAGGAAACACATTCTCACCAACCTATAAAAATATACATGTACATGTACATACACATGTAAAATTCTAAGTGGCATGGAAGGTAGTGCCTAACATACAAAATGTAATGTAATTAAATGTACATACATGTACACACATAAAATCTACATGTACAATTGTTGGGTGTGGGCATGCAACTGAATTTCAACAAGTCAAGTTTAAGAGGGCAAGCTATTGTACATACTGTATGTACCATTAGTACTTACAGTTTTATTGGATAATAGTTCAAAGAGGTTAGTGAGTGCTTCTATAGTGAGCTCCTCATTCTCATCAATGAGTAACCTAATGTGACCCATTAATGAGTGTAACTGGTAGACTGTGAACTGGTTGGGTTGGGCTGGCTCTAATACCGGGGGAGGAGAGGAAGGAGGAGAGACATGATAGGTATGGACATCTTAAAGGGAGAGAGAAGAGGAGGAGAAAGAATGCAATTTGTTCCACTAAAAGGTATAAAAATATTAAAAATAAAAATTGGAGATTAGGGTATAGTGTGTAGCTATTATAGCCATGAGTACTTGAGTACTGCTATTTTACACATGTACATGTGAATATACAGCGAATGTACATGTGCATGTGCATGTACATGTACAATGTACTGAATGTGTATGCATAATACAATTATCATAATGGATGACGTGGTATGTAGTAGGTACCTGATTAATCTTAAAGTTAACTCCAGGCAGTTTTTAGTTCATAGAGACTAGGTTAATGTATTTTGACAAAGTGTATGTTTTGTTTTCAGCATCTAAACATCAAATCTTCCTGGACTCTTTTAATAGATTAAGGTAACCAGCAATAGATTACTGCTTTCTTCCTAGGGTGGGCAGCAGTATAGCGCTATACCTCCCCATGGTGCTGCCTGGGGTCACTAGTATGTATTGTATAGGTACTGTTAGTGATGCTAAAAGTGCTATAAGAAGACAAGAGAGCTGGATGAGCTTAAGGTGCTTTTTTATTTTATTATTTATTTTATAACTATCCTTACGATTCTAGAGATTGTGACAGTGACTTATATTACAACTATTATATCTCCTGAGGCTGAATAACACAACTCTACAAGACTATGACGAGATTATGCTAACAGTATGTACATGGTATAAGAAATTTAATGACTTTGATGTAGGTTTTTGTCAGAAATAAAGAAGCAATGTGAAGCAAAAGATTTATAAAGACAGAGACATTGAAACTTCCTCTCTAGCTCTCTCTCTCATTGGACAAATAGAGCTGTTGCACGGATGTAATCAACGGGGTAGGCGGAGCTTCCTGTCAGCCATCTTGAGTGGCAAGAATGTACACGCAATGAATGGAGAAATGGAAATAAGGCTGCGGTTTTTCATCAAAGAGATATCATACTTCGCTGCAGAATATTACAGAGACTTCTTTACTCAATATCTTCATCTCCTACCTTGCATTAGCCTGGAATGTCAACTGCAGAATTTATTTAAATTTTTTTCTCCATTCCCCCATTCATTCTTGGCCTTCTGCCACCCAACATGGCGGACAATTTACATAGATAACATAGTAACTCTAATATATATATATGGCAATTTAGCTCAATTTTAGCCACACCCTCCCGTTGATTACTTCCGTGCAACAGCTCATATTATTTTATTTTAATTTTTATTGCTGATTTTAAAATAGCGAGAAGCCATCATGGCTAATGCTAGTGTATCAACATTATAGCTTACTGGTGGGTGATATGATTAAATTTTGATAAATGATCAGCAATCATACCTCTCAGGATTGTACCAGTATAGATGAGCTTGATTAATAATTATTCTGGGCAACATTTCCTTTTAAGACATGTGAGTGGGTGGCACTGCCGCACAGAAATGCGCGCGCGCATCTCACAGGAAGATTAATTTAATTTTAGAACAGCCAAGAATTATCATCTCTGATACAGGCCACTACCCAAAATCAATGATTCAGGCCTGATGTCTATTTTGATACAGTCCTGACTGTCATCAATGTTGAATCATGTCTGTTGCTCTGGCTGAACCAGGGCCGTACTCCAGCATGGTTGTATTATGGATGATTATCATGATTGTATCATACTAGACTCATTGCTTTGCAGGCTGCCCAAAATCCATGATACAGGAATGTATCAAGGCTGATCATGATTGATATCAGTCATGATTCAAAGTAAAATTCTTGGCTGTGTAGGAGGAGGCTGTCTATATAACCTCAGTTACGTTAGTCTATTATATCCCTGGTCTAACTAAGAGAAGACTTTACAGAGCCCAGGCTTTAACTTCAGACAATATGGCTGGTGTGGCATCTTCTATTTGCCAGAGTGCACTTGGCTGCATCACAAAAATCAACAATTCAGTGGCCTTGATGCATCATGCAGACAGACTCCGTGATCAAATTGTGAGAAAAACCGAAGACATTCAATCCCAGCTACAAAGACTTAGAAATCACAGTGATGATCAATTTACGACTGACATGACAAGGGTACTTCAAGAAGTGTTTGATAGATTGCATGCATGTGAAGAACGGTGTCAAGAGCTAGCTGATCAATGGCGTGTCAAGCAGTTTTTAAAGGCAGCCTCTAACAACGAGGCGCTACAACTTTTACAAGTGGAGCTTGATCATGTTCATGACAACTTAGAAAGTCAAGTAATTTGTGCAATATCTGAACAAGTGTCCGCTGTCAAGATGGAATTGAAAGATGGGATAACAGAAGTCAGGAGAGATACTGCCTACCCTCAAGCAGGGCTGTACCCAATTTGCTCTCTAAGCTCTGGGGTTTTAAAACCACCTGATGTGGTTAGTAAACCAGTAGTCGATATGAAAGGTGAGACGATGATAGTTAGATGGAAAGATAGCGACAATCCCCCTGGCTCAATAGACATGTATGAGGTACGAATAGATGATTCTAAGAATATAATGTTTCCATGTTCCCCTAAATACAAGTCCCTCTGTATTGGTCCTCCAAAAATAGAACCAGGAATACTCTATACAATTCAAGTACGTGGGGCTAATGGGAGAGGGCCAGGAGAATGGAGCGAAAAAACAGAAGCACTTTTTAAAACGGGGCCACCAAAACGACCAGATAAGCCTAAAGTAATCCCCAGCTATACTGATGCTAAGATATCAGTCCGCATTCCAGACCTTAAGGAAGCAAATGGGACACCAGTTGAGAAAATAACAGTCCAGTATTGTGAGTATGACAATAGTGGCAATTGGGAATCAGAAACCCTTACAATAGAAAAGAAGGAATCACAACGTATCCATGAATTTTTAATGCATGATCTGTCTCCAAACACACGTTATTTTTTTCGAGTTATTCTCATCAATGAGTCTGGAGAAAGTTCACCTAGTGAATCAGTTGATATCACAACTGATGTTCCAATACCAGGAAAACCAACAAACATCAGGCCATCATCTTACTTTACTTCAGATATGATAAAAATTCGTTGGAATCCTCCTATAGAGTATCCTGAGTTTGTTGATCACTATGAAGTGCAGTACAAGAGGAGAAAGGATGAATCTGATTCATCAGAAAAATATGAAGTCATCCAGACAACAAAACTCTCTGCAAAAGCTTCAGGCCTAAAATCAGATACATGGTATGTCTTTCATGTAAAGGCTGTCAATAAGAATCGAAAGTTTGGTGAATCAGCTCGAGTAGAAGCAGAGACTAGATGGAAGAAAGCAGCTAAAGCAGTACTGAGCCCTTTTGTTTTCATTGGTGGAACAGTAGGTGGCCCGGTGTTAGGTGCTATTGGAGGAGGATCAATAGCTGCTGAAAATGCTGATACTAAAGTAGGATCAGTTGCTGGAGCAGTGGGTGGAGCAGTAGGTGGAGGTCTCTTGGGTACTGTTGGAGCTCCAGCTTTGGGTGCTACTTGTGCACACTTATTTGTGCATGGGTCTGTGGACAGTGATCAAAGTGATGATGAAAATTAACTTTTTTTGCTGAACAATTTAATTTTAGCTATAAAAAGATCTATAATTATTTTTAAACTTTAGTAGTGTGCTGTAAATGTCATAATGGCTGCATTGATTTTAGTTTTAATTGCATTTTTCAAAAATATTGTCAGAATGGCTGTTATGTGTGTAGAGTAACATACCATAGTAAATTAATAGTCTATCAGAATTATAATTAAATTAGTTTTATAATTAAATCATGGCAAAAACAAAATGCTTTTATAAATTTAGTAGACTTTTGCCACACTATTCTTTTTTCTATACAAATTCAGTTCATTACCTTAAAATGAGGATATAGATTATGCTCTATCCAGCCAGGCCTGATCATGTAGAAGGGTAACTTATTGGCCCTGCCCAGCTTTGCGTAGGCGAGGACTATTTTTACATGCACATGTGCAATGGAAATAGGCTTTTTGAAAACTGCTATGCAATATACATAATAATTATTTACTCTCTACTGTTCAATAATGTTATTTATTAATATTCTTGTCTTCATTCTGATGTTGGTAGACGTGGTTCCATTGAGGATGGGCGTGGTATAACCACAGACACCACATCCTGTAAGAAATAATAAAAGAATCATCATATAAACATTGTATAGTACTATACAATAATATTTAAAATAATAAAGAAAAATACATTTAAGTATAACACAGAGCAAAAGATACGTGTACAACAACATTGACAACTTGTAGCCTCTAATAAGACAAGTACAATACAAAACAACGGTGAGTTGTCTTTAAATGCTAAAGAGTAAAGACTATTAACTTTATATACTGACAAAGCAATTTTATGTCAACATTTCTCATAAACAAAATTCCTCTAAAGAGTATGATGACTTACTGGTAAGTGATATTGATTGCAAGCATTTATTAGCCTCAAGAGACTGGTATCCTGTATCAATGATGAGAGGGGTAATGTACTAATACTGTCTCCTCCTCCTTTCTCTCCTCCTCCTCCTCCTTTCTCTCCTCCTCCTCCTCCTACTCTATCATATATCTCTTGTAGTGATTCATGAAAAGGAGCTGACTCGGTAGCACCAAAATTAATGACCTATTAATAATAATAATAAAATACTTCATCTACAACGTACATGTATATGTACAGTGTATAAGACAAAGTACAAGTACATGTACATGTAAGTGACATGCATGTACTGACTGGCCTTACCTTCTGTAGCTCTGATAGAGCAATATCTGTATCACTTGACTAGAGGGAGAGAGGAAAGGGAGAGACAGAGACAGAATGATGGTACATGTAAAAAGTGATCAATTAGATTATTTTTTAATCTTACAGAAGTGATTGGCTCTCCTTTAATTATTGAAAGCGCTTTAAAGAATCCTTCCTGACCATCAGGTGAGGAACAGAGAACCATCAACTATTAATAATAATACACAATGTACATTTAATTATCAAAAGATCTTCTGCTTTTAAAACTCACCATATTCATGTAGTCCAATGTATCACACAAATTGTCCTTGAAAAGCTCAAAAAAGAACTAAAAAATAATAATACATGTAACATACATGTACATGTACATTATCAGTTTTAAGAAAAGTCTAGCTGATTACTAAGTACATGTACATGTACATGTATACTTACAAGAGAAATCTTGGCCTAAATACATACATGTATATATGTACATTTAAGTACACATAATTAATCACAAGTACATGTCATACTAGCTGTACAAGTACACATGTTCTTACCGGTTTAAGTCTTGCATTTCTGTCCTCATCAGCTCTTTCATCCAACCATATGGGGACACTCATATACTCTTCCCTGGTAATCATTTTATTATTTCTTCCATCCAAAGTAGCTCTCATTGAGGAGAGAGCAGTGAGGAGGTCTTGAGAGGAGGGGAGAGGGTAAGGCTGTGAGAGACAGAGAACTAGTCTCCTCCAATCAACACTCACAGCACTTCTACCATAAATACACTGCATTAACTGCTGGACCTGAGGAGAGAGAGAGAGGGTAAGAAGGGAGAGATAAAAGGAGGGAGAGAGAGAGATCAATAGGTAAGAGGAAGAAACACAAATGTAACTGTAAAGGTGGGTTCTCAATATGACGCATTGCTTTTAATGCGCTTGCGTCATGACCGAAAGTGTTGTATAAACCAATGGGAGTATGCGTCAATGAGTCAGAATAGAAATGTTTTCTAATCTGATGCA